TGAGGGGGAGGGAGTGAGGGGGAGGGAGGGAGAACATCAGCCGACACACACATCATCAGGTGCAGCGTAATTCCCGTTGAGGCAGACGTGCGTGCGTCCGCTGTCTGTCTGTCTGTCTGTCTGTCTGAGTGTCTGTCAGTCTGTCAGTCAGTCTGTTGCATCCTCATCACAGTGTGGATGGGTGCATCGGGTGCGGGGCAGGGCAGCAGACAGGGAGGGACGGCACACTCGATCGCTCGCCGTCTCGCTGCCTTGGTCGATGTCCAATGATATATAAAAAGAAGTATCTCTCACTCTATCTCTCTCTACGTGTGTGTGTCAGTCTGGCCGTTTGTGGGCGACTTCCTGATGTATGTTATGTTTCTATGTGGGAGGGGCTATTTGTATTCATGACCTGAGTGAGTGAGGGAATGACCCTTGCACCCAGCACCCATCTCTCCACACACACACCCACACACAGACGCACTATTGGTGGCGAAAGATTTGATGCCAGCTCTGCCCCCTGCTCGCGTTTTTGAATCGACCGACCGAGGGGAATCGATACAGTGAAGTGCATAGCTGGATGGATGGATGGATGTGTGACGACGTGCTGTGTAAGAGTGAGGGGCGCAAGTCTTTCGCCACATTGAGACACAGACAGACTCAGTCCAGACAGACAGACAGACGGACAGACGGACGGACCAGCCCATCTCCCCAGCTTCCCCCCCCAATTCACTGCATGCGTGCATGTGTGCGGGCGCGCCCGTCTGCCTGCCTGCCTGCCTGCCTTTGTGCATCCCTGATGGTGACTTCTGTGCGTCGCCTGTGCGCCTTAATTGAGTGTGTCTGTCGGGTCGAAAGGAAGAGGGGGACACAGCACAACACATTACATCACACCGGAGCACCGAGGATCACACGAACACACAGGCAAGGGCCGTCTGGTATGAAGGAAGATAGATAGATAGATAGATGGTCGAGTGAGCGTACACTTGCCGTGAGGGACGTGAATGCGATGCGTTCGTGCATAGATGGAGAGAAGGAAGATTTGTCGCCATCTGCCGAGAGAGAGAGAGAGATATAGGGAGGGAGCGAGGGAAGGAGGGGAGAAGGGTCGTGTGGGTGTCGTGTTGTGTGTGGTGTTGTGTGTGTGTCGGGTTGGGCACGACGAGCGGACTGACGACCGCATCTGTCCGTCGTCACTCCTCTCGACATTTTACTTTCGATGCTTTGCTGTGGGGTGACTGACGTGTGTGGGGTGACGTGGGGGGATGTGTGTGTGTACCATACGTCAGTACGGTACATAGAGAGAGAGAGAGAGATCCTGACTACGCTAGGCCCTCCCATCTCTGTCTCTGTCTCTGTCTGTCTGTCTGTCTGCCTGTCTGACGGATGCGCACAACACTCCTGCGCACAGACGGGCCGACCGATGGATGGAAGAATGGATGGGGAAGGGCCGACTCGACTTGTTCGTGCGTGCATGGCCTGAGAGTGAGGAGCTGGCAAAGTGCGTGCATCGGTGTAAGTCCGTCAACTGAGGGTATAAGGGCACTCACTCATTCCATCGGGGACACAATGGACGCACGGAGGGACGGACGTGATTCGTGTGCGGCGTCTGTCTGTGGGTGTGGGGATGGGTGGGGGCATACGGGGCGAAGTGTGGGGGGGTACTTACTGACTTCATCGTTCGCCGTCCTTTCTTACTGACTGACTGACTACTCTCTCTTACATGATCCCTTCATTCCTTCATGGTGGCCGTGCTCTGCCTGCTGGTCGGCAAGCGCGGGGGTGGGGTGGTGTGGTGTTGTGTGAGGGCGCGTCTGTGCATATAAGTGGATACCTACCTACCTACCTGGCTGGCTGTCTTTCGGCTCTGGAAGTTATTGTGCTGTGTGTGCACGTTCTCTCTTCAGCTACCTCTCCCCACACCTCCATCTCTGTCTGTCTGTCTACTGCCTTATTTGTGCCTCCCTTGTGTGTGCGGATGTATGTGTGTGCATATGTATGTGTGTAAAGGGACCTCACTCATTCCTGGGGCTATTTCTCTGTTCATTCGTTCATTCATTCATCGATACGTGGGGGAAAACTTACTATGCATGGGGGGTGGGGTGGGGTGTCTGCGGCCGCTCGTGTGCATATTCTCTCCGTGTCGCAAGTTCTCTCATGCTAGCTACAACTAAGCAATGCGTCCGACACCACGTATCACGTCACATCACGCTTTAAAAGCCAGCCAACTCAGTGGGGGGCAGTGAGGGGGTGGGGGGTATCGTGCGAATGCGTATGTGCATGTCTGTGTGTATGTGTGCGTGTGTGTGTGTATTTGTGGCGATTTTTAACACCCACACATGACGTGCCTCGGGTTTATCGGTCGATTGCAATGAGTATATGGATGAGATGGGACAGAGGCGAGAGAGGGAGGGAGAGAGAGAGCGCTGCTTATTTACGTCGTCGCGAAGCGCTCAGGCGCTCAGGCAGGCAGGCAGGCAGGCGGGCGGGCAGGCACAGGATACACACACATAGCGAGAACAGCAGACCGGACACGCAGAGCACCGCCGATTAGATGACGGACGGACGGACGGACGGACGCATTTAAGCGCATGCACATGCTGATGGATGGATGGATGGATGAGTTGTGGGTATCGACACATGGATAGATGGATGGATGGAGGGGTGGATGCATGGGTGCCTGCCTGTCGGTCGGTCGGTCGGTCGTGGCCTGCCTGCCTGGCTGGCCTGTCAGATTGATTGATCGCCATGCACCGCACCAACCCTTTTCCATCCGATGGATCCCCCTGTGCATAACTCTCTTCTCTCCCTCTGTGTGCTGTCTGTCTGTTGTGTGAGTGTGAGTGTGGGCGTCAGTGTGGGAGTGAGTGATTGTGGGTGGGTGGGTGAGAGGTTGGTTCCTCTCGGTGTGGTGACTGACTGACTGGGTGGGTGAGTGAGTGGTGCGGTCGGTGACTGATTTATGGACGTCTGTCTCAGTGAGTGAGTGAATGTGTGACGTACGTAAAGTGTGACGCGACCGACTGACTGACTGACATGCCATTTGCCATCTTCCTCCTTCCCTGCCGGGCTCACCTACGTCGATGCCATGGCATCCCTCCATCCATTTGATATGGCTGACTGCATGACACACGAACGAACAGACGGACACTGTGCATTGCAATGGCGGCTGTTATGGTATGGGTGTGTGTATGTGTTTGGTATGTGATGCGGCCCGTCCCGTTGACCGAGCGAGCGACCGACTGAGTGCACGCACAAGTTAAGCCAGCCAATCTGTGAGTGAGTGAGTGAGTGAGTGCAGGCCAAGATGGATGGATGGATGGATAGATGGGACTCATTCATTCGTTCCTTCGTCATGATGTCCGTCCCCCTGTCTGGATGTCCGTCCGTGAATGATGCAATCATTGCATCCTTACATGTGCACGTGTCCTCCAGACATCAGACAGACCAGACAACAAACACCATACCATTACAAGTATTGATTGATTGAACCAATGACGTCAGGTCAGGCAAAGAGCCGAGAAATCCACACGACAGCCACGTGTTGTGTACACCACCCAGACCACACAAGAATACAGCACCACATGGCAGTCGGCCACACGAAGACAAGGCTCAGAAACCGGAAAAAGACAATCGCGCCGCGCCCAGACACAAGACGACGGCCACATGACAAATAGGCCACCCACTGAGTGCCATCCTGCCTCTCTCAATCAATCAGCACTCAACACCAAAAAGACAGCACAGCCGCCTTGCACACACACATCAGACCGCTGCGACGAAAAAGAAGCCGAGAATGCGATCTATAACACTATCTATGCTTTGGGGAGCCCTTTCCTCTTCTTGCTGCCCTTCCTGCCGAGGACCAGCTTCTGAACGTAGGGCTCGTGCACGGCTCGCACACCTTTCGGCCAGCCTGCATGCGCACCACACAAAGCCACACATGCACATACACGTGTACGAGTGCCTTCCGTCGAGAGCAGTCGGTCGCCCCCCTCCCTCCGCCACTCACCGTCCTCGAGGATTTCCCACAGATCCCTCCCAGGGCTGCAGATCCACCTCTCAGACCCATCCCTCCGGTCCTTGTCGTGCAGCTTGTGGATGCGCGGCGAAATCAACACCCGCTATCCCCATTTTCCCTTTCTCTTGAGGGTGAAGCCGATCCCAAAGCTTTTCGTCCAAACATATGTTGGGCGCAAAGGACGAAATGCTGCAGCCAACACGAGCCAACCCACACACACAGACGGGAGACCACAAGTGATTACGCAGGTACGTACCGATGTGTATAGAGTACCCACCGTGCTCGAGCTTCGCCCAGTGCTGTCTCAGCAGCCGTGCGGTGCGGTAGTTCTTGGTCCACACCCACTTGCGGGCGGAACAGCGGGAACTGCTTCTTGAACACACCTTCCGCCTCTTGTAGGCGTTCTTGACGCTCGCGCTTTCACTTGGCTTTGAAGCGAGCATGCTCCTCCCGTTTGAGAATCCTACGACGCGCCGCCTCCTTGGCCGCCTCTTGCTTGCGCTCGGCCAAGGCTTTCTTTCTCGCCTCGGACCGCCTCTGAGCAGCGGCTCTGTGGGCCCTGTCCTGCTCCACCGGCAGAGGCTGACAGGCGTCAAACAGCACAGCACCAAGCTGACTGTGAAAGTTCGATTCCTCGTTGCTGTGCTTTCTCTCACCTTCCCCGAGCGGAGTTCCATGCCAACCCAGAGGGATGTAAAAGCGCCTAGTATTGTGCCGGCCGCCTTCGGCGGCCGTGGATCCCGAGGAGCTCGAGCTGGAGGTGGTTGGTTGGTTATTGTGTGGTGGAAAGTTAATAAGGCTGATAATCGGTTGCGGTTTAGGGTTTAGGGTTTGATCGAATTTACTATGCTCGCGAGATACTGTGCCGCGCGGCTCGACAAGCACACCGTTCGAACCACCAGCGGGCGCTTGACATCGTCATGAAGCCGAAAAGGAAAAGTGCACCTTTAGGGTTTCTGAGGTTTAGCTAGCAGTCTCACAAAAGCTCGCGCTGAGCCGAGGAAAAGGCGTCAAACGCATGACCGACCGACCGGGCTTCAGAGCAACGCGCCGAGGGGCAGAAAACAACGCAGGTGTGGTGAATGGAATGGCATTTCGTCACACGCTTCCCGCCTGTTGATGTCTGTGATTACATTCATTGCAGCTCGTGCCTGAGGTGTGGTTGTCGGAGGCTGCGTCGCTGTGAACAGCGCATCTTGCTTTCCGTGCTGCCTGGCTGCATTGTCTCATCCACATTCAGCACACAACATGGGAGGTGCGTTGGCCACACTACACACAGCACACGACACAGCTGCACATTCCCTGCGGGTCACACGGTGTTTGTCTCTGTTCATTCTCAGGCTTGTTGTCCTGTTTTTTCTCCCGCAAGCCGGCGCTTTCGTTGGATTTCCTGGATATTGCTCCCACTCCAAGCACTCCAATCCCGGAAGATGCCGCCACTCGAAAGCTCGCCAAGGGTCTCAGGAATGGCACACTCACTCTGGAGAGGGCCACTCAGCTGCTGGAAGGAGGAGCCGACGCCAAGTTCATCGCGACCTATCGGATATTTGAGGAGGACTACAGCCTCGTGCAGCTGGAGTCAGAGAGCCTTATTCAAACGGCCGTCGAGCACCACAGGACGGCTGACAGTCTGGACATCATCCGGCTGCTTCTCGAGAGAGGCGCTGACATCAACTTCAAGGGCTGCGCGTTCGGCCCCCCTGTCGAGCTTGCCATTATCCGTGGCCGATATGACGTCGCCCAGATGCTGCTGGATGACCCCGATCTCGATCTCAAGGCTGCGGGTCCGCTGCTGTGGCGTGTGGCCTTTTATCCACTCGACGGCAGTGTGTCGTCTGCCGAGAAGCTCAGGATGGCTAAGAGACTGGTGCGAATGGGCGGGAGGGCCGCCATCTTGTTCGACGCCCCCGCGTATGAGCTTCCGCACAGAGACTGCCACCATCCCACGGCCTTGCACAGCTTCTGTGCCCACCCCCTTGCTGACCTTTCTTCACAGCTAGACCTCATGGATTACCTCATCCGCAAGACCGGCCGGTGCATCGTCCACGATGCAGAGCCATCCACTGATCGCACCCCCCTCTACTATGCGGCCCGGTCAGACAGCACTGATCCCTCTGCGCTTCGGCTGCTGCTGCGCAACGGAGCGTCGCTGAGGGGCGGTTTCAGGCCGCCATTGGTGCCTTTATGGATGAACTTTGGGGGGGTGGAACCACTGGATACATGGAAACAAACGCGGCTGCGGGCGGCATACCGTGACTATCTGCAGCATGACCTGCCGATGCAGGTCAGCATCGCCGTCAAGACCGCCCTCCTGCCCGCACGGGCGACCGCGCCCCTGCTCGATGACGTCACTCATACCATCGAGGCGCTCATCGGCGTGGGCAGCCCGCCCACTGCCTGCATTCCCATCGGCGAGCGGCTCTTCAGTGACCGCATCAACGGGCTGGTCGACGGCTACCTGTCTGCGGCTTACAAGTGCATTCGGCAGGCCAGCAGCAGGAGCAGCAGCAGCAGCAGCCGGGAGGGCATGTGTTGGGGGCTTGGCGATGTGCTGCAAGAAGTTAACGAGGCAGCCAGGGAGGAGGGCTGGCGATTCGGAATCGAATTATGAATCAACGAATCGTGCCGAAGTGACAGGTGAGCAGCGGAAATGGGGAGTAGAGCGCAGAGCAAAGGGGACGAAACATTCGTGTGTGCATCTCTGTGTGAATCTCCCTGACGTCAGTCTGAGTGTTTGTATGGCTCCGAGATTGATTTTCCATGTGATGCTGATTGAGAGGCTTTTTTGTTGGGACAGACAGCGATTCTTTATCAATGTGTCCACTCATGTGTCGTTCTGTATAGTATGGACGGCTCACGACTGACTGAGCGGTGTGGTCTCTTTTGTACGTATGCGGCGCCCGGTGTGTGCGCGTGTGTATGTGTGACATTTTGGATGCGAGTGACGTCACCGAGGCATGATGGTCCGTAATCGAACCAATGTGCAGACGCATGATGCCGTTGCCAATGACATTCAGCCACCAGCCTTCGACACACATTGCACAATAGCTGCAGCCCAGCTGGGACAGACAATCAAGGTTGTCATATCTATCTCACAGTCAGTCCTCATTACGTACGCAGTGCCAAAAATGCACACCAACACAACCGACCGACACAGCCCACTGCGCAACCATGAATGGCATCGATTACACTGCCTTGCCCGTGTGTGAGACCCAGCCATGGCGTGGCAGCCGGCAACTGCGTTCACTCATCCACTGGGTCGGTCACTCACCGGCCGTCGTCTTGGTGCATGTGTGCGTCGTGGTCTGTGGGGTCGACCTGCGGCACCAGGAGAGGGTCTGCCGTTTCATGCTCGTCCTGAAAAGGACAAGAAAAGGCAGACGGGCAGACAGGTGGTGGGTGGGAGGTGGATGGGGTGTGCAGTACTGTGGGCCCCTCGCTCTCCCACCGCTTGTCGGGTGGGGCGGTAGTGGCTCTTTGGCCTGAGACCCACACACACACACACACACACGACACAGACTTGGATGTCATGTTGGCGCATTGGTGCTGTGTGTGTCACACACGCATACCTTTGTTTGAGGCTCCAGTAGTCGTGAAGCGCATCAAACCTGATTGATCGATGAATGAGTGGTGGCAGATACATACACAGACAGGCACACACACAGATGTGTGTGTGTGTGTGTGAGAGTGTGTGTGTGTGTGTGTGTGGCAGTGTGTGTAGGTACCTACCTGTCGAGGTAGACGTAGTTGCCGTCGACGCTGACATTCGACACCACACAGTCAGCCACCTCACCTGCAGACAGACAGACACACAGACAGACAGACGTAGACTGTGTGGTGCTTCCCTGCTCTCTGCGCATTCGTACCAATCTGCACATCCCTGAACCGCTTGATGGCTGACAGCGTCGACACCACTCCCTGCCGGCCACAATTGAGCTTGAACAGCAGCTTGGACGGCACACGAGACACCAGCACACCTACAAACACACACATGCACTCTTGTCTGTGTGTGTGTGTGTGTGTTGGCGCCCCGCACCCACCCTGTACATTAGTCCCTCTGGTGGCGATGTCTGCCGGCCTATCGAAGCCGCTATTCAACACACGGTAATCCACATACCGCTGCGACGCACTCAACACACTATCCACATCTGCACAGCACAAGTCAACACAACACAATGGTCATCTGTCCCTCCATCCATCCATCCATCCATCCATTCATTCCCTGGCTGACCGACCGACCGATTTGTGCATCACTGCCACCACCACCAGCACCGCCCGTAGCGGCAGCACTGCTGCCCTTGCGCGTCATTGCGTCCATGAGAGGTATGAGGTGCCGCACCCCCTCCATGGCATACCGAAGCAGGTCGGCACCCAGCGGCCGGCGGAACCACAGAGTCGGATCGTCGCTCATCCGCTGCTTCATCTCACGAGACGGCGGCGTGCTGATACACACAGAAACCAAACCGCTCCCTATGATAGCCATCCATCCATCCATCCATGCCCATCCATGCGCCACACCAGGCCACCTGATGTCGAGGAAAGCTTTGAGCGGCACGGCCAGTGGCGCATCGAAGGCATAGGCGCTGCTATCGCTGCCGCCGTGCTCGTCGTAGGGCGAGCTCCCCTCTGCCATTCCTTTGCCCTGGTCTGTGCGCGTCCTCTGGAGGTGCAGCCTGTAGGCGACCTGCGTGTCGAAGACGCTCCGCAGAAGGACGCCGTGCTGGTGGTAGAGGGCGGATGAGTCCTCACGGCAGTCGTGGCACACCTGACACGACACACGCACATGAATGCATCAAGGCAGGCAGGCAGCTGCTGTCTTGATTTGATGTGTGCGTGGCGGGGCTCACCTACCTTGATGATGTTCGGGTCGCTAAGTATCGGCTTGAGCGCCTCCACCACACCCGTCTTGAGCGCGTCACACACCAATATCCGCTCGCGAGTTGACAACTGACCACACACACATACAATCCATGACACACACACACAGCATCGCAAAGCTGTCTAGTCATCCACGTGTCTGTCTACCGTCAATATAATTTGCTGTCTGTCATCCATCCATGTGGTCTGGCCACCCCACCCGCCTCACCTGCACGAGGCAGAGCCGCCCAAACCGCCCCAGCATGACGCCTTCGCAGTCCATGGCCACCCGGTCACAGCCCCGCAGATGGTCATCCACCTCTCGACAGCACTCCTCCGCATCGCTCACGATGCTCACACGGCGCCTCACTGTCATCGTTGCTGCTGCTGCTGATGCCGATGATGCCGCTGCCGATGACGAAGCTGCCCGACAGACGAGGCGGACGCCGTTGGCCGCCGAGTGGCAAAGATGGCGCGCTGCATTCATCCCGGCCGCATCTGACGGAGCTCGGCAGGATCACATCGGATAGATCTGCCTTCGCCTTCACTTCTAAGCTCGCACGGCGACGCCTTCCGCCTTTGAATCTGGACATCCTCTGAGCACTCCTGCCTGCATCGGCAGCACGTCGTTGTGATCGTGTACGTCAAGTTCCATCTCGTCGGTTCGATCATCACACGTGTGATCGAAAGATCCGTTCGTCGCCGACCCGGTTCCTCGCTTGTCCTAGCTTCCCTGCCTGCCACTCTCCGTGCCGGTGACCGGTGCCATTTCCTCTACTCCTTCCTGCTGTCCGTTGGCCATCTGCCATGATGAAGGTGCGTGTGCGTCAGCCCGTGTGGTGTCCGTTGCGGTGGCCACGCAGACAGCCCGTGCCAGCCGACGAGACAGACAGACAGCGAAAGAGCAGAGCAGCAGCACTCAGGCAGACGACAAGACGGCAGATCTCAGCTCACAGTGTGTCTCGTGTGCTGTGGCTTCTTCTCTGCATATGTATGCGTCTCTCCTTTTCAGCTGTGCGGAGCGCTGTTTGTGGCGGGCATCGCTTTGTGTGCCGCGGCGCCTGATCCAAAAATCACTGAGAAGGTACCTACGCAAGAAGACGCCAGACGCCCACACGCGGTCGCGTGAGTGTGAGCTTGTGTGTGCAGGTGTATTTCGACATTGACATAGAGGGCAAGCCCGCCGGGCGGATCGTGATAGGTCTGTTTGGCGATGTGGTGCCCAAGACGGTGGAGAACTTCAAACATCTTGCACTCGGAGACAAATCGGACACCGCCGGTGAGATGCACACATACATGCACATGCGCCCAACGCACCGAGTGCATGGCATGGTCCATGTGTCTGTCGTGCTCTGTGTGTGTGTGTGTGTGTGCGTGTGTGTGTGTGTGTGTGTGTGTAGGGAAGGCTCTTGCTTACAAGGGGAGCACGTTCCATCGGATCATCCCAAACTTCATGATCCAGGGCGGCGACTTTACTCAGGGAAACGGCACGGGCGGCAAATCCATTTACGGAGAGAGGTACACTCACACAGACACACACACACACTTTACCCCTGTCTGTCAATCAAATCGTTCTACATAGGTTTGACGACGAGAACTTCAAGCTCAAGCACACTGGTCCCGGCATCCTCTCCATGGCCAACGCTGGTACACACACACACACACAGGCCGGCCACTCAGCGCGCACACACAACCATCCACCTCTGTGTGTGTGTGTGTGGTGTTATGAAGGCCCCAATACGAATGGGTCTCAGTTCTTCATCACGACCGTCAAGACCTCCTGGCTCGATGGCAGACACGTCGTCTTCGGCAAGGTCAGTAAGGTCGATCCCTGGGCTGGCCGGGTGCGGTGCGGTGCGGTACCTGACTTCCGCACAAACACACCACACAGCACCTGAGGCGACCGACGACTGATCTGATTGCCTTCCCTGTCTGTCGTGTGTCCGTTACGTACGTTGTGTGTCAGGTGGTTGAGGGCATGGACATTGTGACGACCATCGAGTCATACGGCAGCCAGTCGGGAAAGCCTGCCAAGACGGTACGCCCACACACACACACACACCCCTACCGCACATAACACACGATGCGATGGACGCACAGCACATGTGTGCATGGCACGCCTAACCCCTTCTAATTCTTCTCGCCAGGTGAAGATCGCCGACTGTGGCGTCGTGGCCACTGCCTGACTGAATTGTGTGACGTAGTCGACGCGGTATCCATCTCCTTCCTAGCTATGGCCCTTCTCGCTGTGTTTTTGGGTCCGTCTGTCTGTCTGGGTGGGTGGAGCCACGGTCGGTGCTTTATCTTTCCTATCAGTGATGCATTCTGTTTAGTGCGTGTGCGGTGGGTGTGGTGTGTGGGTGTGGTGTGCATGTCAATAGCTAGCAAACCAGCGAGCAACCGAGAGAGCGAGCCGTGTGCCAGCCCGAGGGTGTGCGCAAGTGTGTATCTGTGTACCTATGTAATTAAGTGAATGTGTTGTTGTCGAGACTCGTGTCGGTGTGAGGGTGATTCCCTCTCCTCGTGTGGAGGTGTCACTGCCAGTCGGCGTATTCGATGATGTCACCATGAGCCTTTTGGTTGCATCTCTGAGCTCGCTCGGCCGGAGCAAGCCCATCCACAGCAGGACCGGAATCACCCACACACAGACCTAGAACGGACGACCTCAGTACTGACTGCATCATATCGTTTTCTGCCCGACCCATTTGGCCAGTGTCTGGGATTGTCAGATGCTGGGAGGCTCGCTGCGATGGCATGGTGCTGTGACAGTCTTGCCGTCGACAAGGGCCTGCTGCCGCCTGACAAGCCCAGACACGCCAGAGGGACGAAACGGCGCTCATCAGATCAGACCGATCGCAATGTGCGTAAGTAAAGAGCAATGATGATTCATTCAGTACGCCGGGCGGCACCATGGCCCGGCCGACACTGAGATGGTCCACATCCATACAGCCACACAAGTCCCTGTCTCTAGAGTTGGTATACACATACACCACCCCACCCCCGACGCCCACGCCCCCCACTGCGACAAAACTGCCCCTTCGCTCTCGCCCCCCCACCCAGCCCAACTAACTCAGCCATTCTCCTCCTCCTCGAAATGATGGCCATCATCCTCGTCATCGTCGAGCATGAAGGGCCACTCGTCCTCATCGATGTCGTCAAGATCGTCTTCGTCATCGTCGTCGAACATGTCTCCTCCAACAAGGTCGTTGAGGTTCTGCACATGGGCCCCGTCATCCCCGCCGCCTCCACCTCCACCATCCCCGCCGCCCCCCAGCAGCTGCACCGCCTGCAGGGCCCACAGCAGACCAGGCGCCAGCGGCGCTGCCGCATCGTACCTGCACACACAGGGCAGCCACACACACAGGACCCACACACATTCAGATTCGAGAGTTCTTCAGGAATGCGGAAATGCAAGTACCTCCTGACAGCTGAGGCCGACCCCGCCACCTGCAGGAAGGCCGCGAACTCGTCCCTGCCGGACCGCAGCTCATCGTCACTCACATACAGACCTCTCGGCCCGATAAGGGACGCTGCAGACCGCTCCAAACGGATGGCAGGCACCTCCGGCTGCTGCTGCTGCTGGTGCTGGTGTGCGGATGCAGTAATGGTGCTGATGGATGTGGTGGCAGATGCCGGTGGTGATGGGTGGTGGTCGTTGGTGGATGCGAAGATGGCGAGGCTGGGGCCACAGGCCACGCCGTATGTGAAGCCGTGTGTCTCGATGGGCGACTCCTCGTCCGCGAGCAGATACAGATGGTGGCTGCAGGCAGGCCATGCCAGGCAACGCAGACAGACAGAGATATGCACTTCACACGTCTGTCTGTCTGCGGCGGATGTGTGTGGCGGTGTGCGTACCGTTCGTGGCACTTGGATGCGCATGACTTGGCGTATTTCTGGTTGAAGAGGCCGCCGACTACGTTGGTGCGAATGACGGTGTCGCCAAACACATACAACTCTGCACTCACTCACACGCACGGCCGTCCTTGTAACAATCATGTGCACGCACATAAAACTGCAGAAAAGTGTGTGTGTACCGATGTCGATGTGTGGCTGGGACCCTCTAGCGATCGCATACGTGCCCTCACAGTGGAACAACACACGCCTGCAAGACACACACACACACACACAGAGAGAGAGAGGGGGGGGGCATCTCTTTTTATCTGTTTATACCCGCCCTTCAACGAACACGTCAACACGTCAATACGCACTTGCACTGTGTGCAGAGGATGACAATGCGCCTCGGCAAGCGCCCGTCGTTAAACATGTTCACACGGACATGCCGCCGAGCCGCCGCCCCGTCGCGCCTCTCGGCCTCCTTGATGGCGGCGAATTGATCCAGCAAAGCTCTCGACATCTGGCGAGTCACTGCACGCTGCATACATCGCACACACACACGCAAACACGCACGTTGACATGTACATCTGTGGATGGTGTGTGTGTGTGTGTGTGTGGTGACTGACCATGTTGCAGCGCCTTGCCAGGTAGAGTTCCTCGGGTCTGCTGTGCGGTGGGCGGGCGTTGATCTCCTCCAGCCGCGGCAGACGCAGCAACAACTCCATCAAACGAGATCGCTGCGCACACCACCATACACACATACACACAGAGAGAGAGAGAGGGGCGAAGACGCTGCCTAAGGGATGTCTGTGCTCTCTCTTCCGGCTTACGTCTCTATTGTCGGTCATGGGCAGTGCCAATCCGCTGATGTTGACGTACACGAGCTGCTGAAACAACCCGTCGTCAGCCGGCCACACGCACTGAGTGTATCGGCGCATGACGAGGGCCATGGGTGCGGGTGCCGGGGCCATCGGGACGGGAGGGGTGTTGTCGACCCACTCGGGGTGCCGGGCCACCTCCAGTGTGTGCAGGTTGGGCAGCTGCGACAGGTACGATAGAAGCAGAGGGCCCTGGTCGCTGTCCAGCAGGCCTGCAAGACAACCACAGCTCAGTCGGTGCTGTGGATGGGGGCAATATTTTCATGCTGGCAGCAGACAGACGTATGTACCTGGGCAGCTGAATCGCTGCAGCTGACACGTCTGCAGCACATCCCTCACCCCCGCAGCCACGTGCTCGACGCCCTCATGCCCAGCCAACACCAAACGACGCATCTGCCGATAGCAGGCGTCATCTGCCACACGACCACACCCACACATACACACACACATACACACAGACACAGAGGAACAAGACACCATGATTCGACAGGCGAGGCATACACACACATCATGCGTGTGTCAGAACTCTCGCCCACCGAGTCTATTGAGCAGCACCTTCTGCTGCCTGATTGTCAAGCCCAGCGCCCCGGTGTCGACAGCCGTCCACAGCTGGGCGTCGGTGGCCGCTCGCTGCATGCGCCTCGACACCAGGTAGAACGCGTGAAGGAGCTCACGGGCCGTGAGGAAGCGGGAGACCAGCAACAGAGGCCCAGCATCCTCCAGATCGGCGAATTCGGGAGGCCCGGCCTCTCCAGGCGACGGAGCGGCCTCCACCTCCATGAATGCGAAACTTTCCCTGGCTCCTCGAGAGAGCGGTTTCACGCGATGCGAGCTTTTAGCCTAGGGTGTAAACAAACTCCCCAAATCGCGATGGAGGCGCAGTGGGTGGTGTGCCTTGTGCTGTCGCTGTGCCTCTTCACTGATGACTTCGTCTACTCATTCCCGCTCACATTCCTGCCGCAACAGGTGAGGACGTGATATGCACAATGGATGCTGATGCACTGCATCCCCTCTCTGCGTCATGCCATTTTGTTGTGAGTGATGCAGCTGGAGATCCTCAATTACTCATCGACAGAGATAGCCATTGTGGTCGGGGCCTTCGCGTGGGCCAACCAGATCGCCTTCATCATGGTCACCGTTCACCTCTTCATCCAGGCGGCCACCGCAGGCAGCCCGGAGCCGCCCCAGCTCAAGTACATGAAGCAGATGCGCCTGGTCATGTGGTCCACCATGGCGCACTACGTGTCATTGCTGGTCTGCGCCATGTTTCCCGCCTACAACGTCATCCTGGTGGGGCGGATGGTGCAGGGGTTCGTCAGCCCCTTTATATCGGTCTACAGCATCACACTGGCGGCGCAAATATTCCCTTCGGGCTCACAACGGTGCGGGTGAAATCAGCACACGCCTTTGTTCGCTTCCCTTGTATGTGTGTGTGTGTACGTGTGTGTGTGTGATTGGTTGGTTCATTCATTCATTCAGGGGTCTGGCGATAGCCATTGTGATGTCTGGCAACACGGGAGGCGACCTTGTCGGGCGGTTTTTGGGCGGGTATATGTTCTCGTTCGGGTCATATTTGCTGACATACGTGGCTGCGGCTGCGATAGCCGCCTTCAACGTCTGGTGTCTGTTCTTCGCCGCACTCTGCTGGGCGCCCGAACAATTCTATATGGTCGCAGAGGTAGGTGAGAAGAGGCACTAAAAGGCCCAAAAATCTTTGCTGTGTGTGAAGGCGCATTCTCAATGTGTGTGTCGGGGCAGACGTCCAAGTGCCCCAAGTCGTCTTGGCGCGTCGCTTCCTGGCTCCTCAGCGACCCTATCGTGTGGAACCTCTGCGGTTCGGGGCTATGAATACGCCAGACACGGCCCCCGAAAATGCTGATCTATGTGGTGGTTCCGTGTGCAGGTGTGGTGCTTGTGGCGACGACGGTGAAGACGACGGCAGAGATCGTCCTGCCCCTCTACATGCAAAACGAAATGGCAGCCAAGGTAGGTGTGTGGATGGATGGATGGATGTCGCTGCCGTGTGTGCGTGTGTGAGTGCAGGAGACCCTTGTGTCTCTGCTGGCCGGCCTGCTCGCCGTTTCCTTCGTCGTCTCGTCCATGTTCCTCGGTACGTACCTGTCTGTCTACAGTGGATGGATGGATGTGTGCAGCTACCTGGATGTATGTGTCTTGTGTGCAGGGTGGCTGCTGGAGAGGGTGTCAGCTCGACCAATGATATTCTGGAGTTTCTTTCTGATGGCCTTCGCCGTGCCGCTGCAAATATGGTGGCCAAAGGTGGGTTGGCCCAATCACTGCAGTGAGTGCATGGTAGGTAATATGTGTGTGTCTCGTCTCGTGTGCACGTGCCAATCAGACGCTGTACATAGCTCTGTTTCTGGTGCTGTACGGCGTGTCCCTGGGAGGCACCCTCTCACCGTCTTGTACCGCCATCACCGCGGTAAAGAGAAGAAACAACACAATGGATCACACACGGGCAGCCAGCCTTATTTCTCTCCCTCCCTCCCTCCCTCCCTCCCTCTGTGTGTGTGTGTGTGTTTAGTATGCCGAGCACCACGACCGTCTGCGTAACATCCCTGAGGACCTGATTGTGGCCGTCTATCACGACTTCTGGGCGCTCGGCCTGGTCCTGGGGGCCGCACTGGCGGGTGAGTGCACAAACACAACACATGACCTGCTTCGTCCAAGAATGTGTGTGTGTGTGTGTGTATGTGTGTGTGTGTAGGCATTCCGGGGGAGTTTGACTCTGGAGGGCAGCAGCGGATGCTCGTCGGCTGCGGCGTCGGCCTCGTAAGTGCCATTGCACTGCACGCACCTATCCGTCCCTCTCACTTTCATTCTCTCATTCCATCCCTCCATCCATCCATCCATCCATCCGTCCGTACACCGTGCAGGCCCTGTTCGGCTTCCTCTACTACGGCACGACGACCAAGCTGGACTTCTTGAAGACGATCGAGAGGGGTGTCATCCTGGGCCCCACACCTCCCAACATCCGGCGGCGGTACTTTGCCTACCGCCGTGGGAGCGCCCCATCGCAGGTGTTCACCCAGAGCTCCATGGCGGCGAGTGGGGAAAGACAGGCACTGCAGCCGGCCATCGAGGGAAGGAGGGGCCGACAGTGACGGGGGGGGG